AGAACCCCCCCCCCCCCCACACTCTTGAGGTACTTTAGCTGTCATTGCCTTCTATACGATTGAGAAATGATAGGAATGAAATACGTCAGATGAAAAAAGCGAAAAAGTTTTTTAGTGCTTGTTATAAAAGTTTTTTTTTTTTTTTTTTTTTTTTTTTTTTTTTTTTTTTTTNTTTTTTTTTTTTTTTTTTTTTTTTAGCTCGAAAGCAATGTGCGTTCTTAGTTATGTGTTTACAAATAAAGCGAAATGATTTTTGGATGATATAACATTGCGAGGGTGATAAAAAATGTTTGTTTTTCTCTCACCTCTCTCCCTTTAATTTTCTAGTTTAACTTAACTAACATTTTCCGTCATAATTAGTTGATGACATAATATTTATCAGTATCGTGTTAAATAATTGTGCGATAGCTGTAAAATGGGTGATAAGATAACAAAACTTACACTATTCCCCAGAACTATTGTTTATAACAGTTTTAAAATTGAAAATGATGTCTGATATTTTTATTAAAAAAAATGTTTTAAGGAAAATTGAATCAGAAAAGAATGAGTTTTCTGCTTCTGTATTTTTTTTAATTTCAAGTAAAGTTGAAAATTTATTTTATTTTCCCACGTTCATTATGTCTCGAAAATATGTTGAATACAGAAGAATATTTATTCAAAAAGGTGTTATGCATATTGAAAAAGATGAATTATAGTAACAAGTTCTTAGAAATATAAGGGCAAAAATGATTGAAAAGTTGAATTTATTACACACACACTTAGCTACGATGTCTGCCTTACTTAATGTCGTTGCTATTGGTATTATGTCAGTGTTTTCAGCAACAGCAAGCATTGACATGAAAGCGCCTGGTAGTAGATTTCCAAATATCACTAATAACCAAATAACCTGGATAGCAAGTCTTCCAAGTATCACTGCTACGTTTGGAAACTTCTTTTCTGGTATGTATAAATATTTTTTATAAAGTGCAAATGATATTTTTGATATAAATATAAAGTTCAATAACGGAACGACATAGAGACAAATATAAAAAGATGGAGGGGGCTCGAGTCCCTATTATAAGTTTGAAACCCTTTTTGGTAAGTATAAATATTTTTTTATAAAGTGCAAATGATATTTTTGCTGCAAATATAAAGTTCAATTACGGAACGACTTAGAAACAAATATAAGAAGCTTGAGGGGGCTTGAGTTCCTCCTGTAACTTTGAAATCTTTTTTGGTATGTATAAATATTTTTTGTAAAGTGCAAATGATATTTTTGCTATAAATATAAAGTTCAATTACAGAACAACATAGAGCCAAATATAATAGGCTAGAGGGGGCTCGAGTACCTCTTATAACTATGAAATCTTTTTCGGTATGTATAAAAAATTTTTATAAAGTACAAATAACATTTTTGCTATAAATATAAATTTCAATTACGTAATGACATAGGGTGAAATTTAAGGGGCTTGAAGGGGTCGAGTCCCTCACACCATTTTAAGTTTGCAAAACCCATCCTGAAAACTTATCTTAAATTGGTAATATAATATTTTTTATCTTAATGTTCCATTAATTACTTTTTATATTAAATTATTTGTTTAATAATTTTAGTCTACTCGCTATCTTAAAATTTAATTTAAAACATGCTTCTTAGATTCTTTTATTTATGTCTTTTTTTAACAAGCAAATACTAGTTTAAGCATTTATAAACTATCACGTTTTTTAAGAAATCATTTCAATCACTGTTCAGAAGAGTCCAAAAACATTTCGCTCAAAAGAAATAAGCTACTCAAGAAAATACAATAAAGCATGAGTACCATAATAAAATTTAGGATGTCCTTATGACAGCAATTTGTGTGAGAACTATTATTTGTAAAGTGTGTATGCATCGTAAAAACATTTTACTTCATAAACATCATTACATCATGTGATCTAAGACATGTGATGCATTTTCATGATGCAAAGTTTTACACCTTTTGAAACATGAAAACCACTATTATGTTTACATTTTAATAATTGTTCCTCGAAAATAACGAGGAAATGTTAAAATAACTATTTTTGATTCATATTATTTGAAATCTATGCTTCTTTACCAGATTAGTAACTAGTGTTTCCTTGACCCAGCTAGACTCCGCGATGTTTTCTGTATATATTAATAGAAAAAAATTGCACTGCTAATGGATCATTTCAATTTGCATGAATATTTCACATCGTTCTGCGTTCTGAATAACATATGTTACACATCAAGCTAAATTGCTTTGTAATTATAGTTTGAGATAATCAAAACTATTATTCATCGCTTAGTTGGATACAAATACTTTAAGTATAATTTTTTTAATTTTCTGTGCCAAAAGCATTTTTTAGGATAATTTTTAGGATTAAATTTACCATCCTCTACCAAGAGTAGTTGCTTAAATATAACATATTAAAATGCAGTTATTTATTGTAAAACATTTTATATCTACTTAATAACACTCTGAATCTACTTTATATCTATCTTGATCTTATTATATTATCTTATTCTACCTTTCATCCATAATCCAAATTTCTAAAAATGCTTTTAATACTTTTAATATATTTTTCATAAATAAACTGATGATGAATATTTACTTTATTTGACAATATATTCAGATACATGTAAAATATAAGTCCGTCACCTAATCAGAATTTGAGCTATAAAGCGTACGGTATTTTAGATTCTCTATTAAGTTTTTCGCTTAAAATTATGCCATTGCAATCCACAATTTTTGAAAGATATTAAAATAGTTAACAATTATCGATACTCAACGATACTTAATATAAGTATAAGCAATAGCATATATTTTTTTGCGACTTTTAAAATCTAGTGTCGTAGCACTTATTATTAAGTAGTTTGTTTTAGTTTTAAATTGTGAATCTAACTCTACCTAAGTAATATATCTTTACATAAAAGTCAATTTAGAAAACTCCTTACATTTTTTTTCTGCAGTAAGTGGTTTATAATTAGAATGCTAATAATTCATAATAAAGTAATTCATTATCCTAAAATTTCAAATTTTAATTCTTTTTTAGGATATCTTTCATTGAAACTAGGAAGAAAAGCTGTACTGATGTACGTATCTTTTCCATTTCTATTAAGCTGGTTAATGATAGCATATGCGCCATCCTTATCCTGGATCTATGCAGGTCGACTTCTATCTGGATTTTGTTCAGGACTTTGCTCCGTGGCTATTCCAGCATACATTATAGAAATTGCCACAATTGAAATACGAGGACTACTAGGGTCATGTTACCAAGTTTCTTACACAATTGGAGTATTAATTGCAATGTCTTTCGGATTATTCTTTAGATGGTCATGGCTTGCTATTATAGGAGCTCTGTTCGTTGCATCGGCATCCTGTATGATGCTCATGATGCCAGAATCTCCAGCATGGTTGATTGCCAAAGGTAAAAAAGAAGAGGCTATTGAAGTGACGTATTTTTTGAAAGGAAAAAATATTGATTCAAATAAAGAATATAGCAAGCTACTGGATCATGTTGTAGAACAACATCAAAATTCTGTTTCATTACATGATTTTAAAGAGCCTCAATTATATAAACCAATTGCACTGGCAGTTGGCTTAGTATTTTTTCAACAATTTTCAGGAGTCAATGCCCTAATGGCATACACAGTAGAAATATTTGAACACGCGGAAAGCTCTGTAGATCCTTCAATAGCAGCTATCATTATCGCTAGTGTGCAAGTCATTGCTACCATGATAGGTAGTGTGTTGGTTGACAAAGTTGGACGTACAACTTTATATATTATCTCAGGAATATTTGTTTCCCTAGGATTATTCATATTGGGTATAAATGGCATTGTGGCAGAAAATGTCAATTTATCTCCAGAAATCTATGGTTGGATTCCTCTCATTGGATTCATTATCTTTGTGGCTTCATTTTCACTGGGGTATGGACCGATTCCTTATCTTATGACACCTGAATTTGTTCCATTGCATAGCAGAACTGCAGTATTGGCAATTGCGGGTGTGTTTTCGTCACTTTTTTTGTTTATAGTAACAAAAACTTTTAATGATTTTAGAGATTTTCTTTCGGATTATGGTATTTATTGGGTTTATGGGATTTTCTCACTCTTAGGCTGCTTGTTTTGCTGGATTTGTTTACCAGAAACTAAAGGTAAATCTATAAATGAAATACAACAATCTTTCAAAAACTTTGACATTAATCCTATAAATGATACAGATGCTAGTAATGACAGTATCAGTTAATATGGATATGTAAATGTTGAATTTTAGATAGTCATTGTTGAATTCTAATTATAACACCAGTTAAGTGTTTGAGTTTAATAAATCATTTTAAGTATTTCGTCTCTCTTTGTTACGCTATTTACAAGTTAGAGTATTTGATTTAATCAGATAGAACTAAAATTTTATTAATAAATTAAATATATCAACAGAGGGCATATTGTTAAAAAGAACAATGTTTTTACATTGAATTACATCATATTTTACGAAATAATATGGATGTCTAAGTTTTGGATGTGTAATGGCCGTTATGAGATAATATGGTTACAAAAATATCTTATTTTGCTAATGAATCGTATATCTTATACACAGTAAAAAAAATTTCGCGTATCTGAACACCAAAAATTGTGTCAACTACTTTACACCAAATGGTTTTCCACAAAGTTTTCAACTGCACCGAAACTCAAGGATGTTCCTGATGCTGTGCAATACTCAGAATCTTAATTTACACTTTTTGGTGTAAAGTAGCCGCCACTAACCACCATGTTTGTTGTAAATCAACCATACGCGTGGCAGAGAGAATATTAAGACGAATTCGAACTAAGTTTAACACAGCAGGAGGGGATAGAAATTAGGCATTAAAGAATTATTTAATTCAGTTTACAGTTACCACTAGTCACCATGTTTGTCATTTAATAACACTTAAATTTATAACAGTAAGAGGTGATACACATAAGAATCAATAAATTTATTTTTACGAGACAATATATATACTAAAAATCAGTAATTTAAATTCCAAACATGCACCAAATCATCAAATTAAATGAGTTTGTAAATCAACCATACGTCTAGCAGAGAGAATATTAAGACGAATTCGAACTAAGCTTAACACAGCAGGAGGGGATAGAAGTTATGCATTATGAAATTATTTAATTCAGTTTACAGAAACACCAAAATAAAAATATAAATATAAATTTAAACAACTACAAATACATATACATATTTTAGCGGAGAATTTCAGTTTCTGCAGGTGAAAAGCAACATTGAAAACAGTAAACAATATTACAAAGGAAATCATAACGCGCAACATGGAAGTTTCCGATAACAAAAATATTTAATGTATGGTATGAAGGTAGGGCCTGATTTACGCATCTCGGAACCCTGGATACAAAGCCACTTGGAGGCCCTCTAAAAGAGTCGACAAGATTCAGTTAACATGCTTGGTTTTTCATCATAACATCGAAACATCATAACATCGAAAGATGATTTTTTACTCAACAGCAAATTGAAACTATCTAAAGCCTTATTTAAAATACTAATTCCTTATTTTCATATGGAAACTCAAAATTCAATTTAACTTAACGATGAAAAAATATTAAAATTTAATTGATAGATTAAGAATTGTTGGCGAGAATGAGGAATTTTAATTTTGAACCCCTTTTTGTTAATTTTACTTTCGGTTCATTTAACCATGTCTCTGAAAGCTTTAAAGTAGATTAAAAAAATTTGCTCACAATTGTAAAATTCGTTTTGTCAAGGATAGTTCCCTGCAAAAATAATTTTAAAACTTTTTATCATTATATTTAATGAAAAAGCAATTCTTCAAAAGCCATTTGTAGGTCAGAAGAGTCAGATTTTAAGGTCCAACAATTTTGTAACCAGCGGCATGATTGTTGCAATGTGGACAGCACTGTGCACACACAGGCCCCTATATACTCCCCAGAAAAGTTGTACCCATGGATCTGAAGCTGGGTGAGCTTCAAGCCTCCACCGGGGATAGACCCCCAGTACTTCACATTGGCTATTCAGCGCCTTAACCACTGAGCCTTGGCACTGAGCTATCTTAGCTCATCTTATTTAATAAGGGCTCAAGATATTCTTAATTGTCTACAAACTTTTACACCTTTTTTAAGTATATATATNAAGAAATATTTGTTACTAATTGCGCAAAAATGAGACTCGATTGATTATTATGACTATTATTTAAGCTGTAACTTATTATAAAATTAATTATGTTAAACAAAATGGAATTTAAATGAAATACCTATAATTCAAATTGCACACAAAAATATACGTATATATATATATATATAATTTGAATGAAATCGGTTAAATAATTTCTTAGCTATGAAATTTCAAAAAAAAAAAAATTAAAAAAAATACATATTTAAAAATTCTATTTTCTAAAAATATTCATCCAATTTCGTTAAAATTTTGTATTTGGCATTTAAACTTATTTAGTTTAAAACGGTGCAGAAAATTGTTTGCCTTAAAATTAAATATTTTTCACACCCTTATGAAATAAAATAATAAATATAATAAAAAAACTATTAAAATTATTTTTACTTGGAATTTTCTTCGAATAAACGAGTTTCATAATTAGGTGCTAAGTGTTTTAGTTTTATAGCCTCAATTCTTGAGATATAGCAAAATACGTAAAATGCGAAATTAACATTAAGGGACACGAACTATCGACCACTCTCCTGACTAAATTATTGGAACCATATTTTTCAGATTAAGAATATTCCTCAAGTTTTGATACTCAAAAATTCAAATCAGTCGTAAAAAAAGGTATGTTTATTCAGAGAAAGTGCGTTTTTGTGTCTAATTCTGTAGCATAATTATTAGTAAGCATGAACTGATTAACATATTTGGGATCAATCCTTCAAACCATTGCGATCGACATTTAGTTTGTGAGAATCAAAACTGAATATTGACTTTACGTTGCTTCAAAATATATGGTTTCAGACGCGCATCAAAGCATTATTCTTCGGCACAGATTAAACGAAATTATGAATGAAATCTTATATCATTTTTAAAATACCAAAGATTACTTGTTAACTTTTCCTTATTGTTTTACTATTAATAGGAATCTTAAGTCTATTAAAGTTAATTATAATGAAACATTGAGGCATTGGTTCACATACTTAAGAAAATAAAACGTTGTTACATCAATACAATAATAGTAAATAGCAAATTGAAACAAGATAAATCTTTTCGGAAAAACGTTAGAAGTAATACAGTTATTTCTGTGCTACAAGTTAGAATGCATACAAACAAATTTATAAAATAATAGTTTATAACAGACAGCAATAGAATGTTACGATAAATTTGAATAAGGCACAATCGACAAAACAGAAACAAAAGAGGAAAGAAATAAAATACTATAAAATTATTTCATGTAATTTACAGATATTATTTAAAATTATATTTACTCGTATTACACATTTAGAAATATGCATACCTTATTATGTAGAATAGAATAGATTTGTTTAAGTAACGATGTCTTTCAACTCGCGACAAACTTCAACCTTTTCGTGCTTGATTAAAACATCCAACGCAAACTTGGCAGCTGATGATTTAAATTTTCGCCAACATTGGAGTTTTCGGAGGTGAAAATATTTCAAAATAATCTAGGAAAGGTATTAATGAACGTATTTTCGATGTTAAGTATTCCTCATTGATGTTTGGATATAACTACACTACTTAAAGTGTATATGAAAGCTCAGTTTGATGTTAACTAGAAATAAAGTGTTTGGTCACATGGAATCTTTAGTTGTTCAACACATAACTCACACCTCACACACATTACACCTCAGTTTTTACAGTGTATTTGAAAGTTCGATTTGATGTTACTTTGAAAGAAAGTGTTCCTTCATATAACTTATAGGGTTTTTCAACAATAAATTTGGAGAAATATTGAGCCACAGTTTTCACAGTGCACAATGCGCAAAAATAAATAAATAAACGGATTACCCTGAATAACTTTTGATTTAATGATCGAATCTTCAAGTTCTATGACTCCATCTTAATGATTCGAGGGGGTGACCTCAAATATGCTAATTAATTAGCCCAGACGATATTGTAAGTTACAAAATCAGATCCAAAAACGTATTTTCTCTGAATAAAAATACTTTTTCTCGACGGATTCAGACTTCTGTTCCCCAAAATATAGGGGGTAGCCGCAATCTGGGAAATATGGTCCGAATAGTTTGGTCAAGAGAGCGATCCGAAGTTCTGACCACCTAATATTAATTTTATTTTCTTGCGTATTTCGTCATATCTCTAGAAGTTTTTATGCAAATTGAAAAATTTTTGCACACAATTATAAAATTCATTTATAATGCATTCGTTTATCATGTATTCGTTTATTATTTATTTTTTTGTTTAAATATGGTCAGAAAATTTTTTTGAATTGTAAGGCATAAAAATTTTCATAGTACTTTATATCCTCTTTTTTTAAATGACAAAATACAAAATTTGAACGAAATCTTAATAATTTCTGAGTAAACAAATTTCAAAGACGTCGTATTTTTACATTTTTATTTCTCAAGAACTATTCGACCAATTCTCTTTAAGTTTTTGGATTTCATGATATAAAATTACAATAGTTAAAATGGTGACAAAATGTGCATGCCTTGCATTTCGAAATATTTGCGACTATTAATAGGTTAAATAGTAAAAAGAAAAAATAATTATAAAAGCAACTTTTACGAGGAATTATTTTAGGATAGACAAATTTTATAAATGCGTGCATAACAGCTTTAACTCGCTTCATTAGTTATGAAAATATGGCAAAATACGCAAAAATAGGTTCAAAATTTCGATCACTCTCCTGCCTAAACTAATGGGACCACATTGAGAAAAATAGTATGGTTAAAACTACTAGAATATGGTAAAATTTACAATGTTTCTGTCTCCATGGGAACAGTAAATGCTCGGAAATTTTACCGAAACGCTTTGAGAATAATTTTAGAAAATTAACATGAAATATGGATTTATAATTTGTTATAAATTTTGGTAAATGTGGTAAAATTTTGTAATTTTATCATGATACCTTAGAGCGTGAGATATAAACCATTTGTTCGGTAAAATTTACTTTCAGTTTTTTTTTTTTTTTTTTACTAAATGAGTGGCAGTAAGAATTATCATTTTGGAAATCAGAATTTCTGGTAAACCGTTACCACATGAAAGGAAAAATGACCAAATAAATGATTTAAATAACGTATGTTTAGGTTTGATTAGCCAAATTATGTTTTTTTATTATTATTATTATTTTCAGCAGAAGTGTTATTAATATACAGTTCGTTAATTATATCAGAATTTTTTTCTCCGTGCATATTTTCCTAATTGCGGATTACCCCCCCCACCCCCCAATTTTGAGGGACAAGAATTCAAATTAGTTGGGGGAAAAAAGGCATGTTTATTCAGAGAAGGCGCGTTTTTCTGTCTGATTCTTCTTCTTTTAGCAAAATTAAAATTAGGCAATCAAATCATTGATTCATAGTATATGAAAATTCGATCATTGGATTAAAAGTTATTATGGGCATTCGCTTTTACTGCACGTGCTTAGGAAATATTTTTAATTTTATATCAAAACCAGAATATTTGTACAATATAACATGTAGACAATGAGTCCAATTTTCTTTAGGTAATACAAGTTGTACTAATAAATTAGTTTTGTTAATCATAATTTTTTCGGAAAATGAAAATAAATAATGATAGTGAACAATGGCTACAGTATTTTTCCTTACACCTATTTTCTGCATAAACTATAGCGCGTATAAAGAAAATATATTGAATCAATATCTCATCAAATTAAAACCTTTATTCCGGACTTTGTCAAATGTTAAATATCAAATATTCATAAAACAGAAAAATATTTTTCAAATTTATTTAAAAATGATGATCTCTAATTTTTGATATTTCGTTAAATTATTGCTAAAAACTAAATTATTATAATAACTTGTATAGTATCTTTGAAATATCGCATCTCAGAATTGGTGATTTTTTTCTTTTTCCGCGAGCACTGTGCGAGACAGATGCGGAATTCGCATCGGCCAGCCATCGCTGGGATTCAAACGCGATTCACCTCATTGGAAGGCGATTTTTAAGAGATTTTTTTTTTTTTTTTTTTTTTGAATCTCGATATTTTTACCAAACGTGATATACATTGCAAAACGTAATAAGTGATAACACAATATTATTATAAAACGCGAAATGAGAATGTGGGGTTTTTTAAACTCTTTGTGAACTTAGTTTTTAATTTTTCGTTACTTAAAAAATTGTTTTGAGATTTAACAATCTCTAATAATTCATTAAATATAAATGTCCTAAACTTAAAAATATACTGAATAGAATCCCAACTGAATGTTGGTTCTTATTTTGAGCAATAATGAGTTTTTGTTTTATTTCAAATCATTTTAAAACCCATACAATTTCTTTACTTAAAATATTTAATATGCATTAATGTTGCTCAATAAAATATATATTTTTAATTCCTTACTTGAATTCAAAAACATTTCAATTAATTTATTTTAAAATGCACTTTTGTGTTACGCGCAAATAAGTTACTGTGTTGGCTGATAAGAAAGAAAGAAAAAATAATTAGTTTAAAGAATTAAAATAAAATAAAAGAATTATAAGTATTTAAAAGAATTTAACTTCATGCAAATATGTTATTAGTTGACTGAGAAAAAGTATTGTGTCTGAAACACTGATGTTACATAAAAATTATCATAATTGCCATGAACATGTCTAAATGCTTGGGCACGCAACCTATCATTCAAAGAGGTTGCGCATCCCTACATGAATTACAATAAAAATATTTTTTCTATTTTGTATTTTAATTTACTTCTCAAATAAAAATAACTCTTAAATAAACTTTAATATAGTTAGTATAAGAAAGTGAGTTATTTTCTCATATTTTTAAGATTACTTTCCTTTCAATGTAGCGAGTAGGTAAGTGTATATAATGCTCCAATTTAGTACTTTTACTTAATTCTGCCTTTGCATTACAATTATTAATTCCTCATTAATTAATATTAAAATAATTTAAATTAAAACACATGAATTAATATAAATTGAAATAAAATGACTGATAATAAATATCCGAATGCCTCGTCATTGTATTCGTTTCATATTATTATTATAAAAAATTTGTGTTAAGTCCTCATAGGGAGTATTTTTAAATCTTGCAGGGAGCACACCTAAATCTATGTACACCACTGATTCCAGCATTAACTTTTATAACATTATTTACCTTAGTATAGCAAGAGGGGACAGTGATTAATTTATATGATTTTTTGACTATCTTCTATCTATCTATTCTTTTATTTATAAGCTTAACATACCTTATTGAAAAAATAATTTTTTCTTAGCATAATAATATTCTCATTAATAATTACTGACATAGAAGTATAGTGCATTTTTTTTCGTATGATTTAAAACTTTTCGTATCTTTCACTTAACTTAAATCTATATAACATGCTTTTTATTAATATTTAATGATCATTTTACTTGATTAACCTTTCAGCAACTGTGCCCTTCATACTAAATAAATCAAATATGATTTTTAAGTGAATAAATAATAAAATTATAATTTGCTAGGGTTAATAATTACAATTATTTTAATTAGTTAATACTAAGAGAGAGTTAACAGAATTAGTAATACAAATTAAAAATTATTCTTTGTAATGTATTTCTCATATATGCGCTTCTTAGAAGGTAAAGTTTCTAGAAGGTTTGTTTTCTCGTATATGTCTGATGGGATTTATTACTCTTTTCTCAAAACTTGACCCATCTCCTCCAAATCTTCACGCCTGACTTTTACCCCTCCCTTTTTCCGGGGGGGGGGGTCACTTTATAACTAATGAAATGACTAATGAAAAAATGAGCTAGTTTCGATAGCACAGTTATCTTAAAAAACGGTGCTAATTTCGCTATTCATACTTAGAAAATTTATTAGAAATTTTAAACTTTTTCAAACGAGGTAAATGTTTTTTTCTTTGGTCTTTTTTTAATAGAGCTTATAAATATCCGATTTAAAAAAATTTAATATGTAGCTGCAAATTATTGAATTACACTTTTGTTAATCCATATATGGACTAACAAAAGTGCAATTCCTTATTTATATGCAACAGGAAATAATTAATTTTATAGTTAATAATAACAAATTTCTACTGTCATTTTGGGGTGAGATATTTTTCTTTTTTTTACCCTTCTATTTTTGGCGGTATTCCCTAGACTTAAACATTTATCAGGAAGGGTGCCAAGATGTTTTCGTTGACATTGCATTTAATTTGCACTAGGCCAAGACGTAATTTAAATAGTGACGTGATTTCATGTCGTTAGTCTGATTCATTATATTATTTTTAGCAAGTTCCTTAAGCACCACAAAAGTATTTTACTCATAATAATAGTAATGAAACAAATTGCAATAAAATATGTTCTGAAATTATTTTAAATTTTTTCAATGCGCTTTTTAATTTATGATATGGGTTCCAGGATCTCCCCTTCAAGGAGACCCACCATAGTAACTGGGGCCCAGGAAGCGATTACAGTATCAAGTCTACGGCCTGTCCGACCCTGTTTGGCACAA